GAGCTATGAGAGAGGCGGCAGACAGAGCGAGAGCACAGAGGTGCGCGCATCCAGCACGATGCACGCGCGTTGGGTTGCGTCGCGACGCCGCGTGCCGACTGAAACCGCCGCCGCCGTCGTTCTTCTGCCGTTCTCCGGCGGCATCGAGGGAGAGAAGGGCGCACGGTCGGATACGTGTTCGGGCGCGCCTGCTAACATCGGGATACCCGCCGTCGCCGCCGACGCTGACGCCGCCACCGCCTCCGCTGCTACCACCACCGCCGATACCCTCGCCGCCGCCGCCGCCGCCGCCGCCGCGTTCAACCCCCTCGACGCCGACGCGACGCCGGCGGTCGCGAACGGTTCCAGAGGACTCTCGCGCAAATTCGCGTCCACGTGGTGCGCAATCGTCGGGCGACCGACGACGCCGGGTGTCGTCTAAGCGGGAAACGTCGGCCGTTGCACGACCCGTCGACCAAGAGGCGCGATGCAGCCCCACGATCGATCCGCTTTCCCCCTTTGTGCAGTGCGCAGCACTCCGGTGCGAGCGGGACCAGCACAATGCTCGGGATAATACACGCGACGAAGAGGAAAGAAGCGCACGGATCGGCGCGGAATCGACGCTTGGAAGACGCGAGGCGAGGAAAAAGAATGAGCGCGCGTCGCTCGTAAATTTCGCGGACTGGAGTTCACGGACTAGTGAAGGTCACGCGGCGCGATCCTCTGCTCCGTAATTGCAGCGTGAGAGAGAAAAAGATGCTATTTGTGGACGCGATCGTACGGATTCGTGTACGCGGAGATACCGCGCCGTGGGAGAATATTTTGAACCCTCGCAAGAACGTGAACTCACACAACTGGAGAGAAAGAGAGCGTTGACGCCGGCCTTATCGAGATATATTATAACGTCCTATCGCGCGCGTTTAATCCTTCCACTGTGCTGATAAGACTCGTTACGGGGAGGTTGAGGAGACGAGGTACAGGCGGTAAACGCGCACGAGTACTTCGATATTCTACGTGATGCGATATACTTATGTTGTATATCTAAGCGGATGATACGGTGTATTTCATAGTATTATACGAAACAAAGCATCCGTTGTAAATCAGATTTGCAGTGCGTTTTCGTCGTTCTCGCTGCTCATATTTAATCTGGTTTAGAGAACCTTTATCTGTTTAGAGAACTTTAATCTGGTTTAGAGAACCTTGGTTTGTACACCTTAGTTCGTGCACGGTACAGGATGCGGGTAGGATCGTAGTTTGACGTGAAATATAATCTTGAAAATCAAAATCTAATGGTACAATCCTCTCCGTTTATCTCTTTCATCGTAGTGCCTGTTAAAAGACAAATCCTTATTATGTTAAGAGAGAATAAAGCCGCACTGGTAAACGCTTGAGATGATGAATGTTTGAGAACGCGACGATAGTGAACAGAGAGGAAGAGAGTAGACTAGAAAAAGTAGTAAAAAGAAGACAGACGATGTTCTGGCGATATATTTCGAAGCGTAGAAACTAGTCAAGGTCGTGCAATTGTTCAGCTCGCGCACAAGTGCACCGGAAACACCCCGAGTGGTGGGTGTTTCCGGATGCGATTGAATGAAAGTGGTGTCGTAACTTGGGGAGCTGGACTTACGTAAAGTTTTGCAGCACCCGTAACAAATTCTATGGCATATCGTGGGCTTCGCACTGTATAGTTCTCGATTAGCTAACACGATGTCGGTGATGTAACGGCGCCAATGTACTGCATCAATGACGCACAAGTGAGTGCGGTTAACACCGCCCGGAAGTTTAATTACGCTATAAATACGAACGTTGATGAAAAGAATATTTGTTGAATCGGGAATGTATTTTCGCATGCGTTCGCTTTGCCGAGAAAATTATATCATGTAGATAACCAAAAAGAAAGATGATCATTATTAACTTTGAATTAACTCTTGACCGATGATATAACAAGCGAGAAAACATGTCCAAAATTCTTGCATTTCCAAGCAAAAAGATATTTATATGAAAGAACAGTTCTGATCGCTTCAGCATACTTGCAAAATGCTCCGAAAACTATCCTTTCTCCTTGATATAAATACTCGTAAAATTAAACATAACAAGCAAACTTTCCTCTTTGATCTACCTTCCTTCATGATTTTGCAACGTTTATTTTACAATTATTTATTGACTATCAAGAGAAGAAGATAGTTTGCGGAACATTTTACAAACATGCTCAAACGACATGAAATATACTTTCGCACAAGTATCTTTTTGTTTGAAAATGGCACGCACAAGAATGTTCAGTGTGTTATTTCTCTCTTTTAATATTCAATATGGCCGCGGCGAACAGCCTTAATAATCGCAAATTCTAACAAGGAAAAACTTGATATAATTTAGCCGTCACGACCAATTTAATTTTGACGAAGGGAAACGATGTTGTACCGCTGAAGAAAAATAACTTCGTCTAAAAGGATAGGAAAGTAGGTGTTGTGGAAACTCGAGGCGGGTAATTCGTTCTTTCTAAGGTTGCTGCAGAACTCCAAAGCTCGGAAATAGCTCCAAGTTTCTCGCATTCTTTTCTGAAAAATTGCACGAATGAGGGGCTTACCGGCCAAGATTTGAAAGACTTACAACGACACGAAAAAGACGCGGAAATACATCCCAATATGTATAATATTGTATGTTTATTTTCTATTTATGATGAAATCTTAAGTATTTCATATAGAGAATAATATAGGATAAATCACACAATTATTAGCATCCCCCTTGTAGTCATTGGTACTCTAGAGAAAAAAATTGGTTTTTCCTATGATCAGCACTGCGATTAAACTTCTTGTATTCCGTGATTACAAAACAGATAATTACAATTAAATCGTAACAAATACCGTCTGTTGCAAGAATAATTAAGTTTTTATAAATAGTCTGACTGAATAGAGGATGCCAATAATTGTGTGATGCACGCTAATCTGTTCATTTGCTTTTCAACCCTACGTTAAACTGAAACACTTACAACTAACGCTATCAAACTATCGAACATAATTTACAATCGAGTCATGACGCACGAATATCCACGTGCAATTCGCTCGACCCGAAAATTCCTCGATCGGATCTGGAAGGCATTATTGACGCCTTCTGTGTCGCGGGGCAGAAATGCCGAAGATTCCGGATACGCGTGTTCGTATTTCTTGCGGCTACCCACGTGAGTGACACCCTGATTGGGTGCTGCCTCCGTTTCTCTAATCTTGTTCGTCCAATTAAGAGGTCGTCCCTTGCTACTCAAGAGATCTGACACGATTTCCGTAACCCGTAGGCAGACCTTATGTTTTTCTTTCTTCTCTCTTTCCTGCTGTCTCTAGATACCTCTCATATGGTTCCTTATTCGTCAGAAGCAATGATCCCGGGAACACTATTCTGTGACATTTTGTCACACGTGGCACGTGCACGTGCCGGAGATATGGAGGTTACCTCAGGGACCTTCAACGCGGTTTGACTAATGGCCAATTTTGTCGCTTGCGGTTTGCTCACTTGTCAGAACTACTCATCGTCGTCCGCTGGAGAGAACATCATTCTCGTACTGTTTTGATCGTTCTTTTTCGTTTTTACTCCTATTTTCCTATTTTACTCCTATTAGTATCAAAGATTAGAGAAAAGTAAATCTGCTTGAGAGGAATAATTCTGTACGAACGTTTCTTTGAAAAGTAATATATAATATCTCCTACTTATCGCACTTCACGTCCCAGACGCACGGATCCTTCCGATGATTGCGGGATAAATAAATAATCTCGGGCGGCGAGTGCTTCTTGAAAAAAAAAATCGTTGGAACATAATTCAATAATGAAGCAGACGCTAATACGAAGATCTGTCACGCGCGTTAACACATTTTGACCTACATCTACAAACTTCGTCAAACCGATCACGTCCCACGAATTTACGAGCGAGTGCGGACCTTCGATAAATTATTATTTTATTAAGTGCGCGCACACGCGTCCATCGGCGCTCATCTATCTCCGTCCTCGTACGACCTCCGCCTTCTTAGTATAAGTGAACGAAGGGTCTCAGTGGCCGTATTTGTCCGTTCAGGTCCGTTCAGAACTCTTACTTGGGATAGTATACGCGCGATCCATTTGTCCCAGAAGGATCACCGGCTGAATTGATTTCGATTCACACGGGATGGGAGTCGCGGTGTTGCCGACAATTCGTATCAGTTTCGCGCTCGCCAGATTTTCGGGTTCCGCCACAGTGTAACGCGAATTGTCCGCGGCTTGTACGGAATCGAGTACTGTTGAACTCTACTCAGTTAGCTCAGTCTCTTTCGTTTGTCGGAAGTGGGGTGAACTCCGGGATGATCGATGGTCGCGATATAAGAAGTTGAGACAAATCATGGGTCACAGATGGATTTTCTATAGGAAGAATGACTCTCCTTTTTTTGTTCTCAATTTCTTTCTTCTTCTTCTTCTTCTTATTATTATTATTAATATGAATTTCACGTGTCAATACAACGCGTTCAACGTCGCACGATCGTTCAGTTACTGCTACCGGAGAACCGGATTATCATTGGCGACCTCGAAGAGAATTTCACTCCCGATCGACGTCATAAATTCGCAAGAGAAAATTGATTCCCGAGCAATCGCATAACTTCGCGAAGTCGTGAAACGCGTTTCGGACCCGGCTGTAATTTTGAAAAGAGGATAGACCAGAGCAATTCCTGTGTCACTTGCAGTCAACTGTTTATATATATATATATATATATATATATATATATATATATATATATATCAACTTTATATATATTTATATATAGTATATATGTATATATATTCTTATGTATATATAAAGAGGACGACTTATTGAATTAAATAAATGTTTCTTTGGAATAGTCCAAAAACAAATTATTTGGTTGACACAACAAAAATATTTCTTTGGAACTAAACCGCAAATAAATATTTTTATTGCGTCAAATAAAATTTTGTTTGATTAATCAAAAAATTCGTTTGGACTATTCCAAAAAAGAATTTATTTGATTCAACCAATCAAATCGTCCAATTCAAATCGTCCTCTCTGTGTACGTTCATATATTCTCGATAGATTGTAAAGAAAAGTTTGGCGCGCGCGGCTCAGGACACGACGAATGATAGTTGCCCTTTTGAAAGGTCGCTTAATGCCGTTGTTTTATTGCCAGAATGTGTATACAGTTATCAGATGCACACGGAGACCATGACCACATATATCACATCGTACACACGTGAGTTTGTATAAAATAGATGTATCAAAATATGTGTAAACGAATCGAGCGATTCTATACAAAGCCAAATTGCATTGTAGAAGACGCTCACTAAGGCTCATATTAATAGTTATTACTTGAAATTTGTCCTAAAGTGAGATACTCCGATGACTTTAAAGTTACATTTGAGTTTACTACTTGAATCACACAATATATGCGACATTGTATTTGTAATCGCGATTTAGCTGAAAAATTTACATTTAGTTTCATATACAAATCTGAGTATCTGATCTGAGAAGTTTCAAATAATGTCTATTAATACGGCTTTAAATCGTAATATCAAATGGGGAGAGAAAGAACGTTGCTATATCACAGGAGATTCTCGCGGACTGTCGCTGACAGATTTGTGAAAAGCTACAATTTGGTCACGCTGGTCGTCTTCTTCTCTTCCTCCTCGTCGTCGGTCTCGTCCTCGTCGACGGATAAGTCCGAGATATTCCTCTCAGCTTTCTTCGTGGATTGTTCCTCGTCAGGCGGGTTTGAACGCGCTGTCTTCGGTTCCTTTTCTACGTCGTCGCTGTGAATATTGCTCTTTGGATCGTTCTCATCTATCTCGTAATCGTCCACATCGTCCTCGGCAACCTCCTCGGGATTCTGCGGGCTGGAAATTCCTTTGAGCGTTTTATCGCGTCTCTAGACTCAAGTAGTTCGCAGTACGAGAGTATCGTACAAGCGATTATGATGCTAGACTCTAATTATTTTGTCCAACAGAGACACACATATATATATGTATACACACACACACACACACAACACGTGCACATACACACACACATATTATATATATATATATATATATATATATGCACAATTATGCGCATGTAGTAATTCTATCGATAATTCATGTGATCGATAATACGCGCGTAATCGCAATTTGATGGACTGTTTCTGATTGCAAATATCATTTCTTCAATTTACCTTTAATTACTACTATTTTAATGATTACCAATGTGCAATATTGCGTGTTATTCGTAAATTACATAGCCTCTAAATCGGTATCTGTTCACCCTGTCCTCTGCGCGATTTAATGAATAGATAAATAGATCAATTTCAATCAACTAATTTCCTTTATAAAATCAATGATTCGAGTCGCAATTCAAAGGGTTGAAAGTAATTCTCGCGCGTTTTTTCGTATTTGCGTTACTTCTCGGACATTTACCTGCTATGCCTTGTGCGTGACCTACTCCTGCTCCTGGTCCTCCTGCTCCTCCTCCTCCTCCTCCTCCCCCTCCCCCTCCCCCTCCTGCTGACTCTACGGCGCGAGACACTTCTCGATCTTCGTCCTCGCCTTCGCCTCCTACGTCCTCTCCTCCTTTGTTCCTGCACTTGCAGGTCGTCGAGCCTGGACGGGGTGTTGCGCAGGCTCTTGTCTTGCTCCTGAGATACGGTTTTATCGCACGCGCTTATCCTGTTCCTCCGCGAATCACTTCTCATCAGATTCGACGACACGCGTAGGACTTTGTAAGTGGGATCAGAAGGAATAAGGTAGCCGGACTCGACACCAAAGTCTAACGCCTTCTTTATATATTTCCTCGCTTTTCTCGTTTCTGTTAAAGAGGATTCGCTCTATATTTATCCAAGATAAGAAGATGCTATTCCAAACAAGAAGTTTTGTTGTAGTGTATCGTTATATTTCCTTCTCTTTCTCGCAGCTATTTGGAGACTTCACGTTTAATCGATCGCAAGACCTTTTTTTCACAAAATTATATTGTGCGGTATGACTCTCCAAATAGGCGCGACCTCGCGAACTGTATCCCATCGATTATGTCATTTAATTCACGATACATCCACATAGATATATTTCGGTAATGTTTGTTGAATTTTTGTTTGTTGAAACGATATGGGTGGTCAAAATAATACACGTTAATGCATGCAATGCAAAGTTATATTATGGGGTTGTTATTAAATTTTACCTCAAAAGCTATGTAACATGTTCGAAATGCTGATCATAGGGATATTTATAGACGCGCGATAGGAGACTCCGCTTTATATTCTCTGATCATCGTCGTCAAAGCAATTTAACTTTGAACGCGATCTATATGATCTATAATTATACGATCAATTAATTCCGTACCTTCGCCGCCTACGCATTTTTGTAAATACGTGACCGGCAAATCCCTCGACGTGGTACGTCGTTTGATGCCGCGAGTCTTTGAGACCCTACCGCTATTCTTACGGGCTTTGTAACCCATATTCCTGTCGGCGGTGCGCGGGGAATCCGCGGAATCTACGACTTCTTCACCGCAGCGACGACACTTTGTCTCAGGAGCGCGTCCCACGTCACGAGCAGCCTCCTCCGCGACGAGAAACTTGTAGACCAGCTCCGGAATGTTCGGCTTGCGATAATGGCGCTCTGTAGGATACGTTAAAGCGAAGGGATATTTACGTTGCGTTTACAAGAGATCCTCGGATTGAGCGCGTCGCGGCTCCAAGAGTCACGGAGATATCGGAAACGCGCAAGTCCGCGAATAATTTATTGAACGATTATTTAAGCTACAAGAAAAAGAAAGAGAGAGAGAGAGAGAGAGAGAGAGAGAGAGAGAGAGAGAGGGAGAGAGAGAGATTTTCAATATCGCGAAATAATGCAAACTAATTCGCGTACTTATGATTCCAATTTCGTGGACAGAATGAGACCATGAATAATACCAGTTTTGTAGACATAATGAAGTGGATTATTGGTTTCGCATAATTAACATGACATCATGATATCATTTGACATTTGTTAACGCAATTTACTAGCGCAATAATTTAATCGCATCGCGCGTTTGTATTGAAATAGAGTCTCCGTGCGCACACGTCCGCGTCGAGTATTATTTTATAAATATTTATTATATTATCTCTTTATGCGCGAAAACATAAAAGAAGACGAGCGAAATCTCCGTTTTCTCTTTTTAACGCGTTGAGACTGATCACTCACTCATTCCTCGGCGACTTCTCGCGTTTCGATGTCTCTTTATGCGAGCCATTTTGTGCTTACTGTTGGTACTGCGATATTTCCTGGCAGGATCGCGTAGGGGATTTCTCCTTTCGGCTGTCTGCTGAGATTTTGCGGGTTTTCCAAATAATCAGTCGGTCGTGGCGCGGAATTTTGTCAAGGAATTTCCAAGATATAAAAGATTAGGAGAGAAGCGCAACCAGCGGCTTCTTCGCTCGCCGCTTTCCCTTCTTGTCTCTTGTCTTTTATTTAATAACAACACAACGTCGTGTTCGCTTGTCATTTGTATATATCGTACGAGCAATCGAGTTGTTAACGTAAACGTAAACCAATTATCAAATTATAATCTTTCTCGTGCGAGAGAACTTCGCGCACGCTTCTCGATTTTCTCGCGTGCACGATAACATTTGCGATTTAATTGGCAAGTAAGCTCGACAGCAATTCCAAGTCCGTTAATACTGTAGAATACGAGAGTTGGATTGTAGCACGGTTTAACTGTGGAGTGAAATTGAAACGTTCGTGACAGAAAACCCGCAGTGTTCGATTAAAATGGCAACAGTTTTGATTTCGAGGTAACGGTCGTCAGTCATTCACGATTGTGAGAGGGAATGTTTTCTATTCAATAAATATTGCATGGCTCTGCGTTGTTAATGCGAGTAAAATGAAAGCTGAAAAATCTCCATGTTAAATGCCAGAGAGATCTTTTTTTTAGCAATATCTATTTGTCCACAACTAATGCTTTACATTTTCACATCAATTTATTTTCCTCTACGTAGCTCTTTATTTATTTATTGTATTTATCGCGCAAGCACTGCATGAGAAATCACCGTATCCTCTCATATTTTATTCAACTTGCTACTGACAAAAAATTTCTAAGAATAAGATTACACAGAATTCTCATAAAAATCACACATATTTATTCAACAATCTATCTCTCTTCTCAACATTAACGTAAACGCACGATGGAAAGGATTACGCGTTACGTTTACGTGTTTACGATACAAAAGTGTAATACCAAAAATAAATGCAAAAAATATATGCAACAAATAAAATTCTACAAATGAATGAATAAGATAGTACAAAAAGGAGAAGACTCTCGTTCTTCCGAGGAATATATCTCGGTAGAGCAATTCGAGTAAGCGATTAACTTCTTAGACATCCGTTTCTCCGGTGGTGCCGTTTGCATCACGCTCGATACTCGCTTCTTCGGACTTGTCGTCGTTGTCGCTGTCGTCCTTACGCTCGACATCGCGATTGTCGTCGACACTCATGCTAATCTTTTGTCCCTCCACCCTCGATTCACGTTCCCGGCTCGGTTTCCGTCTATCGTTTACGGCTCTGTAATTATCTTCGTTGCTTTTGTATCGATCTCGGTCACTTGCGTTCACGTAATTCTCCACGACTGGCACGTGATCATCCTCAACGCGTTTCGGTGACAAAGCCGTGCGACGTCGTTTGACTGGCTTTTTCACTTTTCCGTTGTCACCCCGTTTTCGCTGTTGCTCTCGCTTATCGTCGGCCCTTTCGTCGATTTTGCTAAAAAAACACGGTTGCCGAATAAGTGAAAATTTTTTCCCAGTCGCGCGGACACACAAGAACAAAAAGGTCAAAACAATATAGGTCGCGCGAACATTGCGTCACCGCTGCAAGAGAGCGCAACGCGAGAAGAAGAAAAATTTAATTCCTCCGTGACGTACATATTTTTGTCGTTCTCCCTTCCTGCGCTTAAATCTATTAAGGTACTCCTGACGCGTTTACGTCTATTAAGACATCCCCGTGTTGTGGAATCCGTTAAGACTCCCGAAATAAACTTTAACTCTTTGAGGAGCTACCTAATATGAAAAATATGAAATAAAATATTTGCAGTGATGTGAACTCGCCGAAGAAAAAAGAACGAGGGAACATTTTAATGCGACGCGCTGCAGTTTTGCGAAAAAAATGTAGAAACCGTTACGTTATATTTTAAACTACGGAGAGCAATACATTTTTATTGTTTTATAAGAAGAATAAGAGCTCACGATTGAGTAATAGTTCAGGTAAAGGGACATGTATTATTCGCGTGAGATTAACATAACTGATGTAGGCAGGCCGCGCGTAGTTAATGAAATTGCCGTTTCACCCACCTATTATTCCGTGCGCCACTACTTCTCGACTTGTTTTTCTCACGCCGTCTTGACTCAGGCGATTTTCTCAGACCGTCGTTTTTCGCGCTGAAGCTCCTGACAGGACTCTCGGTAGGGTGCCTCCTGTATCTTTTTCTGCTCGTCGCGTCCTCCGCGCGGACGTCGTGTCGCGACGCCTTGCTCTTCGGGACTCCCCGACGCATCGCTTTGCGATCGTCGATCGTCATTAGACGCGTATCACCACGTCGGGCGATGCGTCGTTTCCGTCGGGACTCCACGTCGCTGGTCCTGGAACTCACCAAGGTTGGACATACGCGCAGCACGTTACCTCGCGCATCGGCCGGGGTCAGGTAACCCGATCTCACGCCGAACGACAGCGCTTTGCGGATGTACTTCTTCGCCTGTCGCTTCCCTGCAACCGCGCCGTTTCCGTCTGCGCCTTCATCGTCACTCGAGAACTTTGACCTCGCGGTCAAGAACACTTTTATGTACAGCGGGGTGGAATGATAGGTCCCACGGTGCAGATGCACCAAACGAGCTAGCTACAGCACCGTTGCTGCGTTCACTCACTCGCGCCCCTTCACGCTCGTTCGTGCTCGTTCAATGCATCCTCCCGGGGAATTGTCGTCGCACTCCGCTTGCTCATGTGAAGGCTGTTGTACATGCTACGCCTTATGTGTGTTGTGTTATCTTTTTCTTTTTATTATTATTTCTTTTAAAGAGCTCGTAATCGTCGGACTATACAAAAGTATCGAAATAATTAGAACAGTTGTTTTGCAAATTTTGAGAAATTTGCAAAAGTCATTAAAAGTTTCAGCTTTTTATGGGATAATAGAGAATACTTTATTTATTTATGATTCAATTATGTTACCGCAAAAGTTTTTATGCTTCTTTCGAAGAAAAAAGATCTAAAAAATGATTTTATTATATAATTTTAAGTTTTACTTAAGGCCGCTATATGTCAAACCGTTATTTTTATGAAATAGTTCTTCTTGGAAACACACCTTCCTCGATACCTGCTTTGATGTAACTGTTGATGAGTTGCACTAAGGACTTCTTTTTGAAGAGCGCTCTGGCGTTGTTAAGCGAGTTTGCTAGCGTAATCGGCTCCATCGAGATATTCGATACGCTGCTGTTAGCGGAACTCGTAGGCGCAGAGCTATTCGCAGCATCTGTCACCTCCGTCAGGCTCTCAACAGACGTGGGTCTAGATTCCACCATGTATTCGGGAACTCGGATGGATTCTGAGCTATTGTAACGGTCAACCGCTCCGTACGAGAGCCTTTGCTGTCCGCGATATCCCCGCATTCTTCGAGGAGGTGTTTCAAAACGCTTCGGAGATCTCTTCGCGTCTGCGAAAGCAAACGTAACAACGCCACTTTCACTGAAACTCCGTACTTTCACAGTGCTTGTACATTTTTAGACAACTTCTAATTATACTTATATCATGATGTGAGTGATTGTAATAAATTAAACTCAACGTTCTTATTATTTATTTCTGTAAGATATGCACAACTTGTTCAAATCTTTGTGTATCACTTACTAGTAGACATTACTAATTTCTAAATTCTTCTAGTATCGTGAAATGACCAATGTTTTAGATAATTAAGACCGTCAAGACTTACATAAAGTTTTGGTTATATTACGCGTACATTATACCTCGATATACACATAGAACAACTGAGGATAATTGAGATTTTCTGTTGGAGAAATCTGACCTCACTAATTGATTATTTCACGGTACAATCATGATTGTACATCTATGCAGCCTCAGCTTTTCAGCGCTTTTTATTTTAGGTCACTAGAACATTTAGAAATGAAGATATCGATAATTGTATCGAACGTTCGTTCAGCTTGGCGCTACTGAAACGGAAGGCAACGGTATGTGGAGAATGCTGTTACGCGTAGACGTAAGTGCAAGTATTTTCGAAAACGTTGTAGCATAGATCGTTCTTCTACACTGCCCATTGTCTGCATGGAAGCACAGCCTTAGGAAGAATTCACACCTTAGCAGAAGAGCAAAAAACAGAAAGACAAAAGTCAATCAGAACTCACGCTGATAGAAAAGCAAAAATTGTCGACTACCACTTGACCGCTAGTTCCGCCTTTCTGTTTTCTACTCTTCTGCCAAGTTGTAAATTCTCCCTTGTTCCTACTCTTGTTTACGTCCGTTCGGCGCGCGATAGTTCCCTCCACTTCTATGTGTTCAATACTTTCGAGAGCCATAACTCGCGAACGGGTTGACATAGAAACATAAAAAGCTATTTTCTTGACGCACAGCCTGGTATGCGTTCATGCTGCTCTTTCATTGTCACTTTAGAGAATCACCGGGTTTACCAAACATTACGTCAGATTAAAAGCGAGTTGAAGGTCTCTCCACGCGAAGCACTCTTCTCTCTCATTGTCCATACTTTCTAGATCTGGTTTACGTTGTGACAAAAGTTCATATCGCGATCGAAGAGAGGTTAGGTGTCTTCATGTTGCAGATTACAGATATTGCGGAAGTTTCTCTCTCTACGGCAATCTGTGGAGATCGACGGCAGCATAGCAATATCGCATAGTGCCGATTGCATACCTCGATTGTATTTATCGATGGTGAGCAGCTCGTAGACCAACTGAGGTATACTGATGGAATCGTACGCTTGTCGTCGCCGATATGGAGTGTCGATGCGTTTATGAACCGTCCGTCGGATGCCAGAACGAATTCCACGACGTGGTACTCGTTCCGCTATTCGTTTCTTCGTGGCTCGACTTTTCGCTTTTCCCTTTGGCGGTGCCATAATTTGATAATGATATTTCTCCTTCGCGGTGAGTCTCCGTATTGCAAGATCGTGGTCGGCCTCGACCACGGATGAAGATTGTACGATGCGCTTTTGTCGTTGCGTTTTCGCGGATAATGCCGGTGGTTGTAATGGATTAATCACTGCGCGAATCTTCTGTCGATTATTCCGATATTTTTATCGGTACAAGCCAAATTTGGATTTAAAATTTATAATTACATTTAAACACAATCTATAATTACAATTTATAATTACATTTAAATATATTTAAATTTATATAATTATATTATATAATTACATTTGAATATATTTAAATTTCCAACAAATATAGGATGAAGTACATAACAGGAATCATTTCGTAAGAAATCGTTTCGGAACCGACGGATTGTTACACTCAAAATACAATAAATTTAATAGGGGTCGTTCATACTGTTTAATATGGTTGAATTTATTTTAATATTATTTACAACTTTTCTTATAGAATATAAATTGATTTCCACTTAAAAAACTGCAGGTAATCTTGAAATCTTGAAAACTATGAGTGGCAAAAGGAATTTGAGTAATGCATTGCATAGCTTTCTTCGAATCATGTAAGATTCATTTGAATCAACTTTCGCTAAAATCAGTGTTTACAGTATTATCAAAGTAGTCTCTTTTACGTGCTTCATATATATATATATATATATATATATATATATGTTTCCTTTTAATTATTAAAATGTTTAATAAAATTTCCATATTTGTTCTCCAAAGACCAGTGATTAACGGAAAGTTGAAGATGATTCAAGCTCAACGTTTTTCACGTTTAATTATACGTTAAGGCGGTTCTTCTTTATCGTGAAGAACTCAAGGGTGCATCAAAATAGAGAAGCATGAGGTTGTTTTTGAATCACATGCCCGTGTGATACTTTATTACGCTGTACAGGATCCCTGAGTTTCCCTCCCGTACGGAAACGACGCGTTATTAAAGTTCACGTAACTTTCGGCAGGACTTTCAGCGTTGACGAGAGATGCGAGAGGAAAGTTTCTAACGCCGGCGCCCATTCGTTGGCGCGTCGTTGCTCGATTTATTGCACTTTGATCGTTCTTCGTGTGAACTTTTTGTCCGATCCCATGGTCACCCCTCTTCACATGGGTGAAAATATTACACGTCATGCAGGTCTTTCGGTCATCCGATTATTGATCCGATTATCGCGCAATAACATCGTTATTGCATCGGCATCCAGTAATACTCTTAACTTTCCCTTTCATACGACTCGTAACGAATTTTTGTAATAATTTCGTTCGAACAATTTCACAAATTGGGTATTCAGTGTTCTGTGTTACGCTGGCATCAAAGTCTGAATTCAATGTAGATATTAAAACGAAACGTTTGAGATAAAAATCACAGATTGAACTCTGAAATTTTCAAGCATCTCAAAATAGAACTTGTGTTAGTCAAGAGACTAACTGTTCCGCATAAAATTGCATATTCACGCTCGTGTGTTTCGATACGTAGGGAACTGAATAGTAGGACGGTACTATGTATCTCATTAGCGAGAGTAAATTGCCGCGTTACGTTACAGATGATTACGAGTTGCGGATGACGCGGCAACCTTGGATACCCCGAACCCCCGAAGCTATCGCCGTTTATATACCCGGGACTGTGGATTTAGTAAACTCGAGGAGCGTCCCGTTTCTCTTGGAAACGAAACGTGCCTGCACAAATGCCGAGAAACTATTTGTGTAAGTCTTGGAGGATGAATGTCTTGGAAGCTACGAATTTATGACGCAGGCATTTTTATCGTGCGACGAATATTTGATACAGGCAAACAAAAAAAAAAGACACACATATGTAACGGCCAATAAGAGAACGATAAATTGTCGATAAAAAGAAACACAGATTACGAATAAATTGAGTTTTACGTAACTTACTCTCTTTTTTTAAACTTGGTCAGAAATACACACAAACCTATATGCCAAGCAGATTCTGTTGAAGAAAGCACTATGCAAAGCGCAACGCTCGCTCGTATATATTTACGGCGTGTGACCAGCGAGCGAAATTAGAGCGACGTTTTTTGTCTCGCAATCTTACGTAATAATTCTTTACGGAACGGCAACAAGATCGTGGTTTTCTTACATAATTTTTCGCTCGAGAAAATCGATTTTGAAGAGGCGACAGGAGCGAAAGGAAGAGCGAGGGACAATGATACCGATACCGTCGGGACTGTTCCTTCCGATCGACGATACCGATGATTCGATTTCACGGAGTTGCCTCTCGCAGGTTTATCCGCGAAGAGAATCCTGATGAAACAAGAAACTAATCCAATACTTCATCGTCCGTCATCATCCGATTATAAGTTCGTAAGGATTATATTATATTTCCTGTTCTTATACCGGTTGCATTCTCTGTTCGCGAGGAAACGATCCAACTTATCTCGAGAGTCAGATGAATCCAACTGGGGCTTGGCGCGGATGAAAGTCAGAACTTGACAATTGAGATAATAACGTCTGCCTTTAATTCCTTTTGTGAATTCATAGGCGTTTTCATTAACAAGCCATGAATGCTCGTGATCTTAAAAGGCTACTTTTGATGTTCTAGAAGATATATTTAGAGAAATACTGAACATGTCCAATAATGTATATTTTAAACGAAGAGAATATGGCCAATAAGGACCTAAGCGCTGCTGTTTGATGCGCTTACCGAATTATTACCATCTCACTTGGGTATTAAGGGATAACGTTTGAATAAGGAAGGTAAACTCACCGCGTGCATTAATAAAAGACCGAAAGGAATATTTAGCGCGGCATAACTAGTCGCAAACAAACGAGATCCTCTCATAAATCAATTAATTTGGCGATCGCATCAAAGTAACGATTAGACTTTTATTGCGCTGTATGAATTTTATTGGCCATATTCTCTCTTTAAATTATTTCTAAGAGAGTCTTTGCATATATTCGAATTTTTAAACTTTAATTTTATAAATCTTTTTAATTTCAAATATTTTTTACATAACGTGAAGATATCGTTAAGTCGTCTAGAATACTTTGTCTAGATAATTCAGCATAAATATTTACTCGAAATTGATAATTGCATAGAGAGAATATCTATTATAGCTTTTTTCTTTTTAATATAATTTTTTTTTCATATTTACTATGTTTCTAGCAGTGCCGAAATAGATTGTTGATAAGATCAATTTTATTAAGAAATATAGTAAATTTCGTTAAAAGTATAGCAAATTTTTTAATAGCACATTTCATAGTTCCTAAAATATAAACAATAACTATAATTGCACGAAATGAAAAGATAATCGATTACTGCAGAATGTTGATCTATTTCTCGGTTGCAAAATTCTAGTAATTTTTATCACATTCTCTCCGTGTGAATGTGAGAGACATATTAATGCGTGAATAATATATCAACAAATTGAAAAGAGGTCTATTATTGTGTCCTGCAGTTATTACATGAGAAAAAGAGAAAGAAGGAAAAATATAACAAATATTCGCGAATATCATTCTTTTACCTTTGTTAACGTAACGAGTTTAACCCGATCAAGCTCGTTTCCAGCTCGCAAAAT